TACAGCTACACAACAGATTCTAGATTTTCACCTTGACAAACTGAAACTTTATACTCACTGAATAACAACTCCCCACTTCCCCACCCCAGCCCTCCTCTTTGCAGTGAAACCCTGGAGACCACCATGCTACTTTCTCTTTCTATGAATTTGATGACTACATATCTCATTTAATGATGACTACATATTTCATATAAGTGGAGTCATACAGTATTTGTCTATTTGTGAGAGTCTTATTTCCTTAACATACATCCACAGGATTCATCCACGCTGTAGGATATTACAGCATTTCCTTCCTTTCAACGAATGATTCCTAATATTCAATTCTGCATATACACACTGCTTTTTAAAATCCATTCATGTATGGACTGGGATTGGGGTTGCTTCCACATTGGCAATTGTGAATTATGCTGCAGTGAACCTGGGTGTGCTGATATCTTCTCAAGATCTTGCTTTCAATCCTTTTGGATATGTGTACAAAAAGAGGAATGATGGATCCTATGTTAATTCTATTTTTAATTTATTAATCTTTGGAGGAACTGCCATATGCTTCCCCATACTGGCTATATCATTTTATGTTTCCATCAATAGTATCTATGAGTTCTCATTTCTGTACATACTCACCAACAGCTGGTATTTTCTGTGTTTTATTTGTTTGTTTTTCACAGTCGCCATTCTATGTTGCTGAATTCAATTTATCTTCTAATTAGTGATCCAAGCATCTTTTCATGTTTAGACCATTTATATGTCTTCTTCTGAGAAAAGTCTGTCAGGATCGTTTACTTACTTTTAAACCGGTTTAATTGGTTTTCATTGTGGAGGTATATGAGGTCTTTATATATTCTGGATATTCACCTCTAATCACATGTAGGATTTTCAAATTTTTTCGCCAATGATACATTGACTAGTAGTTTCTGTTAATGATTTTTGAGCAAAGGCATGAAGGAGGCTCAGAGTCTGGCACTCGACTGTGTGACAGTAGGAAGGGGGAAGGGCAGGGGCAGTGTCAGACACAGGAGGCTGAGCGGGGAGTGGGGAGCCACAGGGACGGCCGTGTGGTTAGACAGAGGGAGGCAGGGGCCCTGAGCAGGAAGTGAGCGTGGACAAGCCCTGCCTGTGTGCGTGTCATGTCTGAACGCACAGCCACTGTGAGCATCTGGAGAGTTTGTGCGGAAGAGAACAGGTGTGAGAGAGGAAGAGCAGAAGTGGAGAGTCAGAGAGGAGGCTGGTGGACATTCCAGGCAGGAGATGACCCAGCTGGAGGATGGCCATGGAGGCTGGGCCGGAATGGATTCTGGACGAATTTGAAGTGAAGGCTCATGGGAATTGCTAATGACTTAGGAGTGGGCCATGAGGGACAGAGAGGGTTAGGGATGTCTCCTGGATTTTTGATCTGAGCTGCTGGAAGAATGGAGGTGGTAGTCACTGAAGGTGAGCATATTGGAGGAGAAAGAGATCTGGGGGAGAAAAGAAGACGTTCAGTGTAAATAGGTTGAGGTTTATGTGTCTTTGGAGCAGGGAGTCAGAGTTTCAAGTATACTGTTGGATCAAAGTTTGTAACCAGGAGAGGGGAATGTGATGGAATTCCGGATTTGGGGATCATCAGTACATAAGTGTCATGAAACCAACATAGTGGGTCAGATTACAAAGCAAAGTTGAAGAAGTAAAGATTCCGGGCAGCTCTGCTATTTAGGGGTCAGGGAGAAGTGGCGTAACCAGCAAAAGGGCTTCCAAGGAGGTGGGATGAACCTGGAAATTGTGATGTCCTGCAGTTGAGTAATGGAGGTTCTCTGTGCAGTCACCATGTGCAACTGGGTCCTCTGCTACTGCCACACCCAGGACGGGGAAGACTGACACATGGGCATTCGGATTAGCCAGGTGGAGATTGTGGTGATCTTGATACTAACTGTGCTGAAAAGCTGTGTGTGTGTGTGTGTGTGTGTGTGTGTGTGTGTGTGAATTCTAATTTGAATAATCTAAAGAGAATGGAGGAGCAAACTCATTGACAGTTCTGTGGACATATTCTGGTGTTCAGAGGGGCAGCCGAGAAGGGTTCAGGTTAAGCAGATGGCCTCGTGGGCAGCCTGCATCACCTCTGCTGTGGCTTCAAACAGGATAAATGTGTTGTCTTACAGTTCTGGTGCTCAGATGTCTATAGGAGGTTTCCCTGGGCTAAAATCAAGGTGTTGGCCGGCAGGGCGGTGCCTTCTGGCAGCTGTAGGGAGGACCTACTTTCTTGGTCTTCCAGCTCCTAGAGGTGCCTGCGACCCTCAGCTCTGGTCCCTTCTGTACCTGTCCCCTCTTTTTCTTGTTAAGACTCATTGATCACATTGGGTCCATCCAAATATTTCCGGGTAATCTTCCCATCTCAATGTCCTTAACTTGCCTCTATCTGCAATGTCCCTTTTGCCACGTAAGGTTACATACCCCCAGGGTCCAGGGGGTAGGGTGGGGACATTTTTGTGAACTATTTCTCTTCAGGTCAGAGGGATATGCTTGTTGTGACTGGCTTGTCCCTACACCGGCCCCCTCTCCAAACTATGAGCTTCCTACAGGCAAGTGCCATGTCTGAATCAATGGCCTATAATTATCACAGACCTTGCTTTGGGCCATCATAATAATTCATAAATGAGCATTTTTTGTTTGATGGCTATTTGTTGCCACTTCCCTCAGTTACAGAGAGAGCTGCAGGAGGTCTGGGCCCCTGTCCACCTTGTCCACCCAGCACACCCGGTTCCCAGCTTAGGGCCTCACACGCAGGGGCCTCCATGGGACAGCAGGCTGTGGGGTCAGAGAACTGCCTGGGTTGGATCCTGGTGCAGCAGGGAGTTGGGCAGGCTGCTTCCTGCCTCCACTTCAGTGCTCGGATCTATAAAATGAAGGCAATTTAATATTTCCCTCATCGAATTGTTGTGAGAATTTAATGAAATTGATAAACACCTGAGGAGGTGCTCATTAA